AATTCAAGACCAGCCTGGGCAACATAACAAGACCCTGTTATGGGTCTTGTTAAAAAGACCCATAAATTTTTTTTTTTTTTTTTTTTGAAACAGAGTCTTGTTTTGTTGCCCAGGCTAGAGTAAGTGCTGTGGCGTCAGCCTAGCTCACAGCAACCTCAAACTCCTGGCTCAAGCAATCCTACTGCCTCAGCCTCCCAGGTAGCTGGGACTATAGGCATGCGCCACCATGCCTGGCTAATTTTTTCTACATATATTAGCCTGGCACATTAATTTCTTCTATTTATAGTAGAGACAGGTAAAAAACAAAAAAACAAAAAAATAAAATCAATTGTAGGCTGGTCTGAGTGCAGTGATGTTTATATCTAATTGATTACAACTGGTTACAGATTCCTTTGTTCCTTCTCCACTCCCACTGCCGCACTTGACTAGCCTACAAAAAAAGAAATCAATTGTATTTCTTGATACTAGCAATGAAAATCCAAAAATGAAATTAAAATAATTCTATTTCTAAGTACTTAAAAGAAGTGTAAGATGTATACTAAAAATTACAATATATTATGGATGGAAATTAAAAAGATAATAAATGGAAAACTAGTCATGTTCATTGATTGGGATATTCAATAGTGTTAAGATGGCAATTATCCCCAAATTGATCTATAGATTCAATGGAATCACTATCAAAATGTCAAGCCAGGTGTGGTGTGGCTCACACCTGTAATTCCAGTATTTGGGGAGGCCAGGGTGAAAGGATTGCTGGAGGCCAGGAGTTCAAGACCAGCCTGGCAATATACCAAGTCATCTCAACAAAAAATAAGAAAAATTAGCTGAGCATGGTGGCATGTGCCTGTAGTCCCAGCTACTTGGGAGGCTGAGGCAGGAGGATAGCTCCAGTCCAGGAGCTCAAGGCTTCAGTGAGCTATGATCATACCACTGTACTCCAGCCTGAGCAACACAGTGAGACCCCATCTCTAAAAATATATATATGTTTACATTTACTGATATTTTCAAATATTAATGCTTTTTATGTTATGGTCTGGGCTCTGATTCTGTTCCATTGGTCTGTTCCAATTTCACACTATCCCTAAATATCAAGTTTATGAAAAGTGTCTTAGATTCCTAAGTCCACAATAAGAATGAAAAAAGGGGGAAGGATGAGTGTTAGAGGTAATAGAAAAATGATAGCTAATAAACATTACTACATTTATTAGCCAGGCCTAAATGCGACTACATTTTTAAAAAAACAAACAAAACTCTGTTCTTCAAAAGACTCCTTTAGAAAATGGAAAGGGTCAGGCATGGTGGTAAGCGCCTGTAGTCCCAGCTACACCAGAGGCTGAGTTAGGACATTCCCTTACATATGTAAAGTACCTGACATATAGTAGGTACCCATTAACAGTAGATGGCTGTCTTTATAACTTGGATTTATGGTGCTTTATTTGAAGAATTTCCTATCAGGGATAGAACTTCCATGCCTGAACCAACCCCCAGTCAACCACAGTGGTAGCTTTACAATGTATTGTAACTAGCCAGTACTATAGCATCAGATGCAGACAGCACCTTTACAGAGACGTTTAACCAGCTCCAACTGGAAAGTAAATTCCTGTAACAAAGCCCTTTTTATGTATCTCACAGTGGTTCTGCTTCTCTGATTGTGCCTTGATGATGTACCTCCGATGTGAATCATTAAGCCTTTAGATTTATCTTTTTAATAGCTTAAACCCACTTCCTCTTCATCCTCACTACTACTGCCTTCATACCCCTCACTTCTTGTTTGAGTTACTGTAATCATTTGCTACTTTTTTCTCTGCCTCCAACCACTCTTTTTTTAATTTTTTATTTTTGAGACAGTCTCCCTCTATGGCTCTGGCTAGAGTGCTGTATGTCATCATAGCTCACTGCAACCTCAACTCCGGGCTCAAGTGATCCTCCCACCTCAGCCTCCCAAAGTGCTTGAATTACAGGGTGAGCCACCATGGCCAGCTCCCGTGACTTTTGACTCCCTCCAGTCTATCTTTCACAGGCTGCCTGAGTGAGACCCCATGTCTACAAAAAAATGGTTTTTTGGAGATAAAGTCTCACTCTGTTGCCTGGCTAGAGTGCCGTGGCCTAGGCCTAGCTCACAGCAACCTCAAACTCCTGGGCTCAAGCAATCCTCCTGCCTCAGCCTCCCAAGTAGCTGTGACTACAGGCATGTGCTACCATGCCTGGCTAATTTTCTATATATTTTTGTTGTCCAATTAATTTTCTATTTTAGTAGAGACGGCGGTCTCACTCTTGCTCAGGCTGGTCTCGAACTCCTGAGCTCAAAGGGTCTGCCTGCCTCAGCCTCCCAGAGTGCTCAGATTTACAGGTGTGAACCACCATGCCCAGCCAAAAAAAAATTTTTTTGAGCTCTTTTAAAGGATTATTTGCTATAGAATTGCTTGAGTCCACCAATGAGATGAACTCAAGATTTCTTGTTTAAAAGTATTTTGCTATTCTTACAAATGCTGCAACATTCAAAAAGCAATTCTTTTTGCCAGCATTTGGCATATTTAGAAGAGGTTAGAAAAAGTTAAAATCTATCGAATTAGATGTTTAAAAATAGAAAAAACCAAACATTTAAAATTCATTTGGACAGGTCCTGAGTTGAAATCACATTCATCTGTAAAAAGAACTGTTTTAAATCAGAAATGTAGAACCATAGATCCTGACCCTGGACTTGACTGGTGAAGCTTTCCAGGCACTGTATGGGTGACAGGATAGATGCCATGCAGTTGGCCAATTCTGGCATGTGCCCTACTTGGCCTGTGAAATTTTTATAAATATCTCTTAAACCTAAACTTCCTGTTTCCCTGAAACTGATTGTCTTAATCTGATTCCCAGTATTTTTAAAACAAATGAACACAAATTTTCCCTGCAAGATAACATGTTTAAGTATTGGTTGCTTGTGGATAGATAGAGAGAAACCAAGTACAAATGTGAATTAACAATTCAGTGATGTAGCTGTGAAATCTCTGGATGGCTATGTAAGCTGTGAGAAGGTCCTCGCTGGCTCTGCACTTGCCACTAGAGGTGACCATCCAGACATCAACCTGAAGAGGGTGTGAACCCAGCAGCTGCTCGATGGCTTAAACCGCACTTGTCGTACTCCAGCTCATCTACCAAACCAGCTAGTTTTTCATCCGAGCAACTTGCTGATCATGTTTCACCGTTTAAGCGTGGGATGCCACTTGATAGCTGAACACAGATCGCAGAGAATCTCTCAGAGCCATTTCTAACATCTCTCCAGCTCCTTCGGGTAGGTAAAAAGGGCTTTCCGTGGTGGGCAAGTCTAGACACTGAAACCAGATCCAGTGACAGAACTTCCACTGACCCCACCAGCTGAGGAGGATGATGAAGAGGCAGCCATTTCCTTGCTAGCAGGATTCTTACTTCAGACTTGCTGCATGACTCTGGACAAATCACTTAACTTTCTGTTCCTCTATTGTCTTATCTCAGCGCTTTGCACTTTCCTTACAGCCCCGCCCCAACGCCAGCCGGAGCGGCGCGCTCACGAGACAGTGGCGTGCTCGCGCCACCCAACAAAATTTTTTAATTAAAAAAACCATCCACATTGTAGCCAATGTTAATGACAAATGGCAGCCAGCCCACAAATTCCATTACTGGTGCCTCCAAAAAAAAAAAAAATCAAGATGCCTCTCCTCTTATCAGAAGATGCCTTACTGTCAGGACATGCATCATTTTGGCAAGCTTGATCCTTAGCTACAAATGAGGCTGGAAATGCTTCCCCCTGAATTCATAAGCATATGGAATATTAAGGAATATGTCTATACCATAGCTGACATAGAAAGTCTCCACGAAAGGATTGCCTCATTACTTCTGTAATTAGCTAAATAGAAATCTTAATTTTTCCCAAATACTCTATCATAATCTACCCTCTTCAATCTTTTTTTTATTAAGACCCTTCTGCAGTCCTGATGTTCATGCCCTGATTTGTATTGTCCCCATGCTAAGCTGCTGCACAGCTAACCTCTTAGAGCTTCTCCTCACCACTAGGTTGGATCCAGATTGAAAGAAGAAATAAAACTGCCTTTATTTTTAGATGACATAATCTTGCATGTAGAAAACCTTAAGATAGCCCCCAAAAAGTGTACTAGAACTAAAACAAGTTCAGCAAGGTCACAATAATTCAAGATCAATATCTTAAAATCAATTGTGGGCCGAGGCTGGTGGATTGCTCAAGGTCAGGAGTTCAAGACCAGCCTGAGCAAGAGCGAGACCCTCTCTCTACTATAAATAGAAATTAATTGGCCAACTAAAAAAAAAATAGTAATAGTATATATAATATATATATATATATATTATATATATATTAGCCGGCATGATGGCACATGCTGTAGTCCCAGCTACTTGGAGCTGAGGCAGGAGATTGCTTGAGCCCAAGAGTTTTGAGGTTGCTGTGAGCTAAGCTGATGCCATGCACTCTAGCCGGCAACAGAAGTCAGACTCTCGTCTCGAAAACGTAATATTCATGTACACAGGCCAGGTGTGGTAGCTCATGCCTGTAATCCCAGCACTTTGGGAGGCTGAGGTAGGAGGCTTGCTTGTGGCCAGGAGGCTTGTGGCCTCCTGTCTACAAAAACTTTAAAAAATTAGCTGGGCGTGATGATGTGCGCCTGTAGTCCTAGCTACTCGAGAGGCTGAGGCAGGAGGATTACCTGAGCCCAGAGTTTGAGGCTGCAGTGATCACACCACTGCACTGCAGCAGCCCAGATAGCAGAGTAAGACCTTGTCTCTAAAAAAAAAAAGAAGAAGAAGAAAAAGAGAGAAACAAAGACCTTGCCCTCAAAATGCTTAAGTAGAATTTCTCCCTCTGCTGATTTGTTCTGTAACTAATACTGTGTCTTCATCCTTTTTCTTCTCCAGGAAGGGTTTGATGCCCTGGATCCCTTTATCCCCATGCTAGTTTCCAACTATACCCCAAAGGAATTTGAAAGCTGTCTTCAGTATTACTTGGAGAACAATTGGCTTCAACATGAAAAAGGTCAGTTGTTTAATTTTTCCTATCAGGGCTTTGTGCTCACAGTAGAATCCCACTGTATCAGAGGCTTGATCTCTTCTTCCCTCAGCAATAGCCTATAGTATTTCATCTTTTTTCCTTTATCTTGACTTATTTCTGGCTGATAAGATAATACAGAAAGGTGGTTGGGAGGTGATTAAGGTTTAATTTACAAAAGAGTTTATATTCTCCCTAAATTTCTCATCTTAGTCCAGAGTAAAATGTTCATGCTAAAGAAGGAAGCAAAGCCAAGTTCAGCCATTGGGCAGAGTTTCCAGGTGTTTGGGTTGCTGTCGCACTCTCTTTATTGCATTTATTCATTCAACAAACTTCAGCTGATAGATTCATGTGCTAGGAGACCCACAGAATAATTCTACTATGTGAGAGGCTACACCAGCACCAAACTAAACCTTTGCCCTACCTGACCTAGTATATATACAAAAATTAATTCTTAACTCCATATTTGATCCACTTTGACAGAAAGCATTCCAGCTGTTTATTTACCCTTGCCCTCACCTGTGGACAGGAGAGGGGATGTAGAAGAAAAGTAAAGACCACTCTATCACTAGACAGTAAAGAGTTAATAGTAATTGGAATAGGTTCTTACAGGAGTAGAGGGAAGAATATAAACATAGCAGCTGCAGCCAGCATGGTAGATTGGGAGGCACCATGGACAGATTTCTAAGGGAGTTGGGAGATTTGACAAAGTCCTAAAGTCCACAAGATACTCCTGGAATTGAGGGAGAGAGAGATGCCGGATTAGAGGAATAGAGACAAAGGAAATAGAAGAATAGAGACAAGAGAAATTATGCATAGAAAAAGAATACCTTATAGGGATAAAGGATTTAGAAATACGATCTCTTAGGAGATGCTAATTACATCAGAACATAATCTGGATAAGGTAGCCTCTGACCACAGAATTTTCTGGTGAACACAATGCAGCAGGAGGAAACTGCTACTTATCTGTGTTTGACTCCATTTTAGCTCATACAGAAGACGGGAAAAAGGAGCTACTGTTCCTAAGTAATGCAAACCCTTGGCAGCTGGAGCGGCTCTGTGCCTACCTCTAAGCCACAGTCACAATATGCATGGAAGAACATGGACATTTCCTTTAAGCTGGACCCAGCCAGATGGAATCACTACACAGGAAGAGCAGGCAGGCCCTCTGCTTAGGGGATTGGACAAGACTGCAGTTGGCTCTGGACCTTCATCGAAATGAGTTCCTTGAGAAATGACTGTGAACATGTGGCAATCAGATGTCCTCTTCTTCCTGAAACTAATACTGGTTTATTGGATGTGATTTTCACATTTAAGATAATCATAGATCTTTTCCTTAAAAAAATTAAATATATTTCTTAAAGTGTTGTGTTAGATTTATAATATGGAAAGAGCCTTCACATTGGCCCAGTTGAATTTCTCTAGTATTCTGCTTGTTGGGGATCTGAAGAGACTCAATTCTACAAAAATTTCCAGTGGTTCTGTTTCCTAGACTTTATTCAGTTCAGCAGGTTGAGATTCACAGCTCTACTTCTCCCTCTCAGACACTTAACACTCACTTTCTATTTATACTTTTATCCTTTGATGATCCCTGGGAACCTTAACTGAAACTCTAGCTGTTTCTGGCAGCTTTGTATGGTACAGCCCCTTTCTACAGGTTTCTAAGAGAATTAAGCACTAAACCCTTTCAGCATGCATTATATATAATGAATTAATTTATCTTTAATGCATACAGAGTTCTATCTATGTAGAACTATGGGATAATTGAGAAAATAGTGACCTCAGATAATTTAATCCTCTTACCATATCCAGGTTGTTGGTATAGTTTGAAGAGTCAGAATTTTGATTTCCAGCTCCATCACTTATTAGTTGTCTGTTTTAGCCTATTTCCTTCTCTAATTTCACCTTACCTAATGGTGGTGATAATGCTAAACTTGCAGGGCTTTTGCAAGAATTAAATCACATATGTAAAGTACCTGACATATAGTAGGTACCCATTAACAGTAGATGGCTGTCTTTATAACTTGGATGTTATGGTGCTTTATTTGAAGAATTTCCTATCAGGGATAGAACTTCCATGCCTGAACCAACCCCCAGTCAACCACAGTGGTAGCTTTACAATGTGTTGATTTAACTAGCCCAGTACTATAGCATCAGATGCAGACAGCACCTTTACAGAGACGTTTAACCAGCTCCAACTGGAAAGGTTAAATTCCTGTAACAAAGCCCTTTTTATGTATCTCACAGTGGTTCTGCTTCTCTGATTGTGCCTTGATTGATGTACCTCCCGATGCGAATCATTAAGCCTTTAGATTTATCTTTTTAATAGCTTAAACTCACTTCCTCTTCATCCTCACTACTACTGCCTTCATACCCCCTTCACTTCTTGTTTGAGTTACTGTAATCATTTGCTACTTTGTTTCTCTGCCTCCAACCACTCTTTTTTTAATTTTTTATTTTTGAGACAGTCTCCCTCTATGGCTCTGGCTAGAGTGCTGTGATGTCATCATAGCTCACTGCAACCTCAAACTCCTGGGCTCAAGTGATCCTCCCACCTCAGCCTCCCAAAGTGCTTGAATTACAGGTGTGAGCCACCATGGCCAGCCTCCCGTGACTTTTGACTCCCTCCAGTCTATCTTTCACAGGCTGCCTGAGTGAGACCCCCATGTCTACAAAAAAATGGTTTTTTTGGAGATAAAGTCTCACTCTGTTGCCTGGGCTAGAGTGCCGTGGCCTAGGCCTAGCTCACAGCAACCTCAAACTCCTGGGCTCAAGCAATCCTCCTGCCTCAGCCTCCCAAGTAGCTGTGACTACAGGCATGTGCTACCATGCCTGGCTAATTTTTCTATATATTTTTAGTTGTCCAATTAATTTTCTATTTTTAGTAGAGACGGCGGTCTCACTCTTGCTCAGGCTGGTCTCGAACTCCTGAGCTCAAAGGGTCTGCCTGCCTCAGCCTCCCAGAGTGCTCAGATTTACAGGTGTGAACCACCATGCCCAGCCAAAAAAAAATTTTTTTTGAGCTCTTTTAAAGGATTTATTTGCTATAGAATTGCTTGAGTCCACCAATGAGATGAACTCAAGATTTCTTTGTTTAAAAGTATTTTGCTATTCTTACAAATGCTGCAACATTCAAAAAGCAATTCTTTTTGCCAGCATTTGGCATATTTAGAAGAGGTTAGAAAAAGTTAAAATCTATCGAATTAGATGTTTAAAAATAGAAAAAACCCAAACATTTTAAAATTCATTTGGACAGGTCCTGAGTTGAAATCACATTCATCTGTAAAAAGAACTGTTTTAAATCAGAAATGTAGAACCATAGATCCTGACCCTGGACTTGACTGGTGAAGCTTTCCAGGCACTGTATGGGTGACAGGATAGATGCCATGCAGTTGGCCAATTCTGGCATGTGCCCTACTTGGCCTGTGAAAATTTTATAAATATCTCTTAAACCTAAACTTCCTGTTTCCCTGAAACTGATTGTCTTAATCTGATTCCCAGTATTTTTTAAAACAAATGAACACAAATTTTCCCTGCAAGATAACATGTTTAAGTATTGGTTGCTTGTGGATAGATAGAGAGAAACCAAGTACAAATGTGAATTAACAATTCAGTGATGTAGCTGTGAAATCTCTGGATGGCTATGTAAGCTGTGAGAAGGTCCCTCGCTGGCTCTGCACTTGCCACTAGAGGTGACCATCCAGACATCAACCTGAAGAGGGTGTGAACCCCAGCAGCTGCTCGATGGGCTTAAACCGCCACTTGTCGTACTCCAGCTCATCTACCAAACCAGCTAGTTTTTCCATCCGAGCAACTTGCTGATCATGTTTCACCTGTTTAAGCGTGGATGCCACTTGATAGCTGAACACAGATTCGCAGAGGAATCTCTCAGAGCCATCTTCTAACATCTCTCCAGCTCCTTCGGGGTAGGTAAAAAGGGCTTTCCGTGGTGGGGCAAGGTCTGAGACACTGAAACCAGATCCAGTGACAGAACTTCCACTGACCCCACCAGCTGAGGAGGATGATGAAGAGGCAGCCATTTCCTTGCTAGCAGAATTCTTACTTCAGACTTGCTGCATGACTCTGGACAAATCACTTAACTTTCTGTTCCTCTATTGTCTTATCTCAGCGGCTTTGGCACTTTCCCTTACAGCCCCGCCCCCAACGCCAGCCAGAGCGGCCGCGCTCACAATGAGGACGAGGACGGTGGCGTGCTCGCGCCCACCCAACAAAATTTTTTTAATTAAAATAAACCATCCACATTGTAGCCAATGTTAATGACAATGGCAGCCAGCCCCCACAAATTCCATTACTGGTGCCTCCAAAAAAAAAAAAATCAAGATGCCTCTCCTCTTATCAGAAGATGCTTACTGGTCAGGACATGCATCGTTTTGGCAAGCTTGATCCTTAGCTACAAATGAGGCTGGGAAATGCTTCCCCCTGAATTCATAAGCATATGGAATATTAAGGTATATGTCTATACCATAGCTGACATAGAAAGTCTCCACGAAAGGATTGCCTCATTACTTCTGTAATTAGCTAAATAGAAAATCTTAATTTTTTCCCAAATACTCTATCATAATCTACCCTCTTCAGTCTTTTTTTTTATTAAGACCCTTCTGCAGTCCTGATGTTCATGCCCTGATTTGTATTGTCCCCATGCTAAGCTGCTGCACAGCTAACCTCTTAGAGCTTCTCCTCACTCAACTAGGTTGGATCCAGATTGGAAAGGAAGAAATGAAACTGCCTTTATTTTTAGATGACATAATCTTGCATGTAGAAAACCTTAAGATAGCCCCCAAAAAGTGTACTAGAACTAAAACAAGTTCAGCAAGGTCACAATAATTCAAGATCAATATCTTAAAATCAATTGTGGGCCGAGGCTGGTGGATTGCTCAAGGTCAGGAGTTCAAAACCACACTGAGCAAGAGCGAGACCTCTCTCTACTATAAATAGAAATTAATTGGCCAACTAAAAAAAATATATATATATATATATAGCCGGGCATGATGGCACATGCCTGTAGTCCCAGCTACTTGGGAGGCTGAGGCAGGAGGATTGCTTGAGCCCAAGAGTTTGAGGTTGCTGTGAGCTAAGCTGATGCCATGGCACTCTAGCCCGGGCAACAGAAGTGAACCTTCTCGAAAAAAAAAAAAACAAAAACAAAAAAATAAAATCAATTGTAGGCTGGTCTGGTGCAGTGATGTTTATATCTAATTGATTACAACTGGTTACAGATTCCTTTGTTCCTTCTCCACTCCCACTGCCACTTGACTAGCCTACAAAAAAAGAAATCAATTGTATTTCTTGATACTAGCAATGAAAATCCAAAAATGAAATTAAAATAATTCTATTTCTAAGTACTTAAAAGAAGTGTAAGATGTATACTAAAATTACAATATATTATGGATGGAATTAAAAAGATAATAAATGGAAAACTAGTCATGTCATTGATTGGGATATTCAATAGTGTTAAGATGGCAATTATCCCCAAATTGATCTATAGATTCAATGGAATCACTATCAAAATGTCAAGCCAGGTGTGGTGTGGCTCACACCTGTAATTCCAGTATTTGGGAGGCCAGGGTGAAAGGATTGCTAGAGGCAGGAGTTCAAGACCAGCCTGAATATACCAAGTCATCTCAACAAAAAATAAGAAAAATTAGCTGAGCATGGTGGCATGTGCCTGTAGTCCCAGCTACTTGGGAGGCTGAGGCAGGAGGATAGCTCCAGTCCAGGAGCTCAAGGCTTCAGTGAGCTATGATCATACCACTGTACTCCAGCCTGAGCAACACAGTGAGACCCCATCTCTAAAAATATATATGTTACTTTACTGATATTTTCAAATATTAATGCTTTTATGTTATGTCTGGGCTCTGATTCTGTTCCATTGGTCTCTTCCAATTTCACACTATCCCTAAAATATCAAGTTTATGAAAAGTGTCTTAGATTCCTAAGTCCACAATAAGAATGAAAAAGGGGGAAGGATGAGTGTTAGAGTAATAGAAAAATGATTAATAAACATTACACATTTATTAGCCAGCCTAAATACTTTATTTTTATTTTTTTATTTTATTTTTTACAGCAACAGACTTAACAGACACAACCTCCCCAAACACCCGCCGGCTCCCCCGTCTCGCGACTACATTTTTAAAAAAACAAACAAAACTCTGTTCTTCAAAAGACTCCTTTAGAAAATGGAAAGGGTCAGGCATGGTGGTAAGCGCCTGTAGTCCCAGCTACACCAGAGGCTGAGTTAGGACATTCCCTTCAGCTCAGGGGTATGAAGTTGCAGTGAGCTGTGATTGCACCACTGCACTCCAGCCTGGGTGACAAAGTGAGACCCTGTCTCTATTAAAAAAAAAAAATATATATTATTATATTATATATAATATATAATATATAATTTCATTCGTTAAGGTGGCGAAAAAAAAAAATAGAAACAGCCAGAGTGGGAGAAAATATTTTCAACAGAGAACTGACAGTGGCCTTGTATCCAGAATAAAGTACTTTTGCAAATTAATAAGAAACATACAAGCTAAAAGAAACTTGGACAAGAGACTTGAACACTCACTTCACTAAAAATGATATCCAAATGACTGATAAACATAAAAGGTACTCTCAACCTCATTAGTAATGAGGAAAATTAAAACCATCATGATAATGATTAAAGTTTTTAAATGTTGGCAAGGTTATGGAACACCAAACAAACACTCTTACACTAGTGGGCCATGAGGAGAGAGAGAAGAGAGAAGTTTGGAGTTTTTTACAATGTAACGTATGAGGAGCGAAGTCTGCGACGGACGAGAAATAAAACACTCCTCGGTATATACCCAAGAGAAAAGTTGTTCATATGAACAAGAATGTTAATCGTAGCACCTAATAGCCCCAAATTGGAAATAATCCCAAAGTCTATTATTAGCAGAATATATTCTTTGTTGAATAGACCACTTGTGGTCTATTCATACAGTGGACTATTCTACAGCGTTGAAAATGAGTTATAGGTACATGCAGTAGTATACAATGCATGCAGTGAATTTCACAAACCATATTGAACAAAAAGGCAAGACCCTGTAGTCCCAGCTACTATAATACAAACTCCGATTTCTTTACACAACGTAACAGATACAAATAAATATAGATAAATGATAGGTAGATGACAGATAAATGACAGGCTAGCCCACAGGCTTAGAAGTCAGGAACTGTGTGACTTTTTGAGGGGAAGCGGGTACCCATGGGAGGCTTTAGGGGCTACTTTTTTCCGGCAAGGTTTTATTTTTGTCTGAGGAGCTACTAGCCAGCAGAGATATTTGCGTGAAAAGAGACAACAGCTGCAAGAGAAATAGGAAGAGACCCTTCCGTGACATGCGCCAGGGCCGGCCGCCCCACGTGAAGCGCAAAGGCACTAGCACCCAATATGCTCCACCCTGGCGTGTAGGCTCCGGCGCCCGCAGCTTCCGGCGAGGCCCCACGCCAGCAACTACAGGGAAGCAGGATTGGTCCATGTCAGGGAAGAGGGAGGGAATGATGGGCGGTGCCTGTAGAGCCCAACGAATCGTTTATTCCATGGGAAAGGATGTGCTTGTGAACCAATAGGACGCGGAGAATGAGGCCCCGCCCAGATGCCTGCCAGGCCAATCGGCTAGGAGCAGCGAGTGGACCGGCAGGGGCGGTGCAGGGCGGTATGGCGGGCGGGGTTCGGGAGGTGCTCACACTGCAGTTGGGACACTTCGCGGGTTTTGTGGGAGCGCACTGGTGGAACCAGCAGGTGAGGTCTCCCGGCAGTTGCCTCCGCGGAGCCTTTCGGAATCTACAGTTCTGACTTCCGGCCTGCCGCTCTCGCCGTCTCTGAGCCCTGTCCTCCCTCTGTGCCTCCCCAGGATGCTGCGCTGGGCCGAGCGATCGACGCCAAGGAGCCGCCAGGAGAGCTGTGCCCCGACGTTCTGTACCGTACGGGCAGGACGCTCTACGGCCAGGAGACCTACACGCCGCGACTCATCCTCATGGATCTGAAGGGTGAGGAAGTGGCAGGGGTCAGCCGATGCTGTTTTCCCCTTTTGTGTGCCGAGTCTCTAGCATCCATTCGCTTCAAGACCCTCCCACCTTACTGGCCGAAGGACCAGAGATAGGAGCTAGCCATAGTATGCCAACACCGAGGTATGCAGGAAGGCCGAACTTTACTCTGCTCAAGAGCCATCTCTGGAATAGACTGCTAGTCCCTGGAGGCAGTGAGATGTTGAACTGCAGTACTCCTGTAAGGACCAGTAGGTGTGGCTTTTGCCCCAAGTCCCACAAGCTAATGACTAAACTGGGAACCAAAGGATGGAATCTGGATTCTCCTAGACCATAGTTCCCCCCACTCCCAATAATGTTGTAAAAAGCTATGTGCTGGAGGGATGGTGACAGTAGGTTGTCAAGTGATCAAAGGAAGATTAGCTGAATGGAGGGAGAGGGTGCCCTAGGCTTTGACCTACCATTGCTTATTATTACTGTACAGGTAGTCTGAGCTCCCTAAAAGAGGAAGGTGGACTCTACAGGGACAAACAGCTAGATGCTGCAATAGCATGGTATGTATTTGCTGTATGGAGAGGGGTGGAGAATATGTATGTGCACAGAAAGCTGAAGAACTCATCATAGCGAAAGTTTCTGTAATCAAACTCCAATCTTTTTCAGGCAGGGGAAGCTCACTACACACAAAGAGGAACTCTATCCCAAGAACCCTTATCTCCAGGACCTTCCAAGTGCAGAGGTGAGTGCCTCCACTGGGGAAGATTTAAAAAAAATGATTTTAATCACCATAAATGCCTTAGGATGTTACTTTGGGGAAAAGCACTTCTTTTCCAGAGGACTACCTGAACTGACTGCCTGAATAGGAAGGAGGGTGTGGGGTGTGTCAACAAACTCAGGAAGGAAAAAGTAGCCTTTGCCTCTAAACTGCCTAGAACTAAATATGGATTTTTCTTACTCCTCCCAGGGAGTACTAAGTAGTGATGGTGTCTGGAGGGTCAAATCCATTCCCAATGGCAAAGGTGAGGCTTCTCCAGGTACTGATGGATGGGGACTTGGGCAGAGCAGGAAGACAGAGAAAGGTACATTTCCTCTGCTTTTCTTCAGGTTCCCTGCCACACACCACTGCTACAACTTCAAAACCACCTATCCCCACAGAGGGCAGCATCAGAGTCTGGTCAGA